CCCTAACCCAGAAGAAAAACCCTAACCCTAACCCTAACCCTAACCCTAACCCCAACCCTAACCCTAACCCTAACCCTAACCCTAACCCTAACCCTAACCCTAACCCTAACCCTAACCCTAACCCTAACCCTAACCCTAACCCTAACCCTAACCCTAACCCTAACCCTGACCCTAACCCTAACCCTAACCCTAACCCTAACCCTAACCCTAACCCTAACCCTAACCCTAACCCTAACCCTAACCCTAACCCTAACCCTAACCCTAACCCTAACCCTAATCTTATTCCTAACCCTAACCCTAACCCTAACCCTAACCCTAACCCTAACCCCTTAAACGAGTGCGGGGCATTATGTTCTGTGGTTTTATGCCTCATGGCTTGACGTATGCAGAGACATTATGTCTCGACCCTTAAGTTTCATCCGTATGCAGAGGCTTTATGCCTATGCCTCGACGAGTGCAGACATTAACCCCAGGCTTCAGGCTTTATCCCTCCCAAGTCCTCCCAAGCTCAGACATAAAGCCTGGCTGATCAGCACAACCGCTGTCGACGACCAAGTCAAGTAACGGTCACTCCACACCACACCTCTCTTTGTTTTGAGACTTGGCTTGTGACCCCTATGGCTGCCACTACCTCCGCGTCCCTTTTCTTTTTTCCCCCAGTGCCCTACAGAGCACCAACCAGCCCTCTACATCGTCTGAGCACAGGGACGAGCTTGACGGGCTTGACTTTGACGTCTTCGCTCCACCCGCTGCTGCCGCGGCCGCCAACGAGCTCACCCACCGCCCGACCGTTGGTCAGACTCGCCGGGCGTCATCGCCCGTTGTCTGCGACCGACCTACCTCGGTCCAACGGACGTTGTTTCATTCTGTCACCGTGGCAGCTCGTGACTCACGGTCAATCGTCCCTTCCGGGCTGAACGACTATCGTCCGCGCATCCCGCTCACCGAGCTCGCCATCGTTCGTCCGGATCGGTTTGAACATGTCGACATTCCGCTGGGACTGCCCGTCGTTCCGCTCTACGAGGACGACTTTGTTGATGCACTTCGCGCCTCGGTTGCTGTTCCTG